GGCCATTTTTGCCCAGTCTTTTCCTGATGGTGGAGGCATGAACGCTGACCTTAACTGAGGCAAGTGAGGCTTGCAGTTCTTTGGACATTGTTGTGGGGTCTTTTGTGACCTCTTGGATGAGTCGTCGCTGCGCTCTTGGGGTAATTTTTGGGGGGCGCGGGCCGCACTCCTGGGAAGGTTCACCACTGATCCATGTCTTCGCCATTTGTGGATAATGGCTCTCACTGTGGTTCGCTGGATTCCCAAAGCTTTGGAAATGGCTTTATAACCCTTTCCAGACTGATTGAACTCAATTACTTCCTTTCTCAATTGTTCCTGAATTTCTTTGGGTCTCGGCATGATGTGTAGCTTTTAAGGATCTTCTGGTGGACCTTACTGTGTCAAGCAGCTCCTATTTAAGTGATGCCTTGATTGTGAACAGGTGTGGCAATAATCAGGCCTGGGTGTGGCTAGAGAAATTGAACTCCGGTGTGGACAACCACAGTTATAGTATGTTTTAACAAGGGGGGCAATCACTTTTTCACACAGGGCCATGATGGTTTGGATTTTTTTTCACCTTTAATAATAAACACCTTCATTTACAAATTTCATTTTGTGTTTACTTGTGTTGTTCTTGACTATTGTTTAAATTGGTTTGATGTTCCGAAACACTTAAGTGTGACAAACATGCAAAGGAACAGGAAATGAGGAAGGGGGCAAACACTTTTTCACACCACTGTAATTCTCCATCGCCTTATATTTTTTTTTACAGTTGGCAAAATAGTGAATCACAAAGCAAACACGCCACACCTATAAGCTATGCCAGCCACTATGGGCAACTAACTGACCAGAAAGTGGTGGAATGAACCTCACCAAATCAAAACATCACTTGCCCTTAACCAAACTCCAATATCATTCATATTTCAAACCCCAAAATGCCAAAAAGCTACCTAGCATGCGACTTTTTGAGACATCTTGCTAGACGCTGGAGTCTGTTCCTGTCTCTCAATGTGCAAGTACGTGAGGAAAGTTACAAAAATGCCTGGCAAAAAATGTTCAGGCTGGAAAAAGGCAAAAGAATGCCAAGAGCCTAAAAATGAGTTGAAATGAAGTAACACAACCCATTTACTTTAATACTACCTGTCAGTATTTAACATTGAACTTGATGTACTTTGTTAACTTTAAGTACAACATAACTAAACATTTATTGTTAACTAACCAATACTAAATTCTCTGGGTTTGATTCAGAGGAGTTAGGCAGTGGTCATCCTGAAGGAATGGACATGGTGGTTTGCCAAGCTCCTGGAGACGAGCTGTATGTGGAAGGCGATACTTGGAACCTGGACGAATGCACCCGCTGTACCTGCAGGCAGGGCAGAGTGCTCTGTGACACAGAAGTATGTCCCCCTGCCCTTTGCCAGACACCAACCTGGACCAAAGGGACCTGCTGCCACATATGCCAAGGTAGCTTTCCATTCTGGAAACAATTCTAGGCTTCTTTTCTAAAACACCTTAAATGCAGGTATAGTCTTCAGATAAGATGAAAGAACACTGATTGTAAACAGATGGTACCACACCCACACCCCTCACTGGGGAACTTCTGTTTTTCCCCAGTTGCACATTTATGTAGCAAATGGTAGTGAAGAATCTTTTAAGTTCATATGATGTACAGCAAGGCTCAGAAAGTTAGAATTTTATTAGAATATTTCTGCAGGCAAGTGGTTTGATGGGTGAGAGGCATCAGCTCTCTTGACATGTACTTTACTATGTACCCCAGACCAATAAATCCACCGTCCCAAACTGGATGCCTTTACTCGGCCACCCTAGGGAAAGAAATGTTGCGGGTTGGTTTTTTTAATTTGGTTCCCCACTTTGTGATCTCCTTCTGAAAGCCTGTAACACTGTCTTGTCAATGAAGTAAACAACTAAACTTGCTTTGGTTTGAGGCTCCAACCCCAAACCAGACTTGGATGAATGCCTGAGAACCATTTCTACTGGTCATTTAATAGAAGGAAAAACACAGTGTAATCTTTCCAGAGGGAGTACCCATGTCCCATGTACAGAAAATATTCCAATCAGAATAGGCCCCATAATGCATCTAAATGCACACTGTGTCAAACTTTGTCAATCAAATTTAAGCTGCCAAAGGGACCCCACAATTCATCACAGTGAAGGTGTAGCTTGTAGTGCTATGGTAGCTCATCAGCGTGATGGCTGAAATTTACAAATGAACCTGAGCCCATTGCATTGAAGTCTTATCTGTAAACCCCAGGCCTGAAATCATTACTATGGTACTTGAAAATCAAAATGAAGCACATGTGTTTACTATCTACACTCCGTGTACTTGTCTTGCAGAGGACACACTGAGCTCCCTCCTTCCTGTCAATAACAGCCAGCGAGAATATTGTATCTCCAGTGATGGAGACATCCTTTTGGCTGGCGATTCATGGAAACCGAATGCCTGCACTAGTTGCATTTGCAACAATGGGACCATTCAGTGTTTCTCCCAGCGATGTCCAGCTGCCAAATGCAAAGTGCCAGTGCTTCGTAAGGGACAGTGCTGTCCACAGTGTCTGGGTAAGTCACTACTGGCCTGATGTAAACTGCTGATTTATATGGTGTATACCAGAAACGCAATACAATTTAGTGGTACCATACTAGGCTAATGAAATAGTTAATTCAAAAAGACACACTCAGGCTCCTGAGTGCTGCTAACAGACATAGCATGAGCAGGAGTTCAAAACAATCCAGTGACTGGCTTCATGTGTCTTGGAGGAAGCCTGTGGTAGACTTCACCTTCCAGATGGTAGCTGTCGTGATAGAGTTGGTTTGTGGGTGCGAATTGGCAAATGATCTAAATGGAAGACTAACGGGCTTAAAAAAGAAAGACTTGATGATAAATATATATAAAAGCTAATTTTCATATAGGGCTCATGTGTGCAAAAGTACCACTTATTTCGATTACTTCAGTTTGATACAATCAGAAAAGTTATATTCTAGAGATGCTCGTTCTCAAGTTACTTTTAACACGTAGCACTACATGACTCTATAATATACAGTTAAAGAAGAGTAATGATTTATAATTGAACTATACTTTGTCACTCATATGTGGATGGGTTCCTTATTGAGTTGGGTTCCACTCGAGGTTTCTTCTTCTTATTGGCACAGGGAGTTTTTCCTTGCCACCGTCTCCTATGGTTTTGCTCATTAGGCATAAATTTAAATATACATTTTTAAATTTTATATCCGTAAAGCTGCTTTGTGCCAATGTGTACTGTTAGAAGTGCTATATAAATAAAATTGAATTAATGGTGGCTCATCACAGAAAGAGGATTCACTCTGCCTGAAGCTTAAGCAGTTTGTAATTTGTAAAAAAAATTTTTTTTAAATAAATCAGGTGCACCAATGTACTACAGAATTGCACACGGATACACAGGACACCCTTTGGGTAATTTGGGCAACAAAAATATCTCTGCAGTGTCTGCATAGTCACAGTTTCCTGTTTTGCATTTAAAGATAAAAGGAAAATACTTGTACACATTCTTTGCCAGTTCTTTGCCAAGCTTGCAGCAAATTACAATGCTTTTATTTTTGGCTTGGTTGGGGGCATTGAGGGGAGTTGAATTCTTTCAAGGAGGAAAAAACAACCAGCAGGTGTATGAAAAAACATGTATATGAAGTACACATATATGATATAGACTGGGGCTGATTTGGTTCTAGCGCAAAATTTGTAGATTCACATAGCCTGTTGTTGAAAGTTGTCATGGTTACTATACAGAGTGAAACACCCTAACATTGAGAAAAATTCATTTGCGCCTGCTTCACTGACACATCCATAACACGTCAGCAGTGATTGAGAAAGTGCACATGAAATACAATAGCAGGCATAATAAACAAAAATGAGGTAGATTATATTCTTGATTAAAAAAAAAAATTCTCCAAAATTGTCTTTGGAGGAGAGATAACAATCACAGCGTTTTTGTTTACAACGCTTGCTATTCAGAAAAGAGAAAGATTGATTATGGATATGAAGCACTGGGCACAAATGGGTGATGTCTTTCTACCTTTCTGTCATTGTTAGTGTTTGTGTGTGTGTGTGTGTGTGTGTGTGTGTGTTTATGTAATACTTTTATGTCTATACTCTGAGACTCTGTGCCATAGTAATAATTAGCCTTAGTAATAATAGTTTACTATTGAGGTAGAACAATTTGTTTTAGGCTTCACATGTTGCAAATGAATATCCAGCTATAATGCTCACAAAACTGACAGTTACGGCACTTTTTTGTTTTGTTTCTTCTGTTCGTAGATGTTGCGACAACCTCTGTGCCAGTGATGTCTACAACAACAACAAGCAAACCTAAAAACAAAGCTAGTGACACCATTACGATCACTGAAAGTGAAGTTTGGATCACAGTGCATACAGTAATTCCTGTTACAGGTAGAACCCTACTACAAAAACCACCACATCATCCATACACATTACAACCATAAGCGTCTCCAACAAGAATTGGCCACAAATATCATATTGTTGTATAATGCATGTTACATAGATCAATCGCTTGCTAGAGCAGTGAAAAATAATGAGCTGGATAGAAATTTCCATATGTTGAGTGAACAGAGTCTACAGTTTTGCCATAACATTGACCTCTTGCCATGCGAGACAGCTGTAAACTAAATTTTTCTGCTTTTTGAACTAAAGCAGTAGTCAGACCAAATCAGCAGAAAGGGTGATTCACTGAAAGGGAAAGGGCAGATGACATGAAAGATGCATATTGCATTTATTTATATTGCATACATTTATGGCATTTGGCAGGTGATCTTATCCAGAGCAGCTTGCATTTCTCATTTATACATATGAGCAGTTGAGGGTCTTGCTCAAGGGCCTAGCTTAGTGGTGCTGGGATTTGACCTCATGACCTTCTAATCAGAAGATCACCATCTTACCCACCGAGCAACCACTCTCATTTATACTGAGCAGTTGAGAGTTAAGGGCCTTGTTCAAGAAACCAGCAGTGAGCGCTTAGTGGTGCTGGGATTTGAACTCAACACCTTCCGATCAGTAGTTCAACACCTTAACCACTGAGCTAAGAAACTGAGTGGGTGGGACTAGTGTTAAAAAAGCTTGAGGAGCTACTAATTATTAAGTAGCAATCACTCTGATATTTCGTCTCGCTGCTTTTCTTACTGCTGCTGGGTGGACAGCAAACATCTGGGGGGTGGGGGGTGGGGTGGGGGTTTTTCCATGCCAGTATATTTGTGGTAAAAATAATTTTTCCTCTCTGCGTGCTAGGATTTTCCTGTTACCAATGTTGGTAATATAAAAATGTTAGTACAGGTGAAACGTAATGTGAAACTCTCATCTTTTCAAGATCATGGAAGTGTGAGTGCGGATGTCCCAGTCGAGGCGGAAATGTCCCTCATCTACCAATCAGTAGCCTGGATTCTGGCCGCCCTCCTCATGTCTATAGTCATATTTTTTATTGTGGCTTTTCTCATTAACAAGAAGAAAAACTGCATACAGATGTCCTGCTACAATGCACCCAAAAAGGTAAGCATGTAAGGATTTGTTTCTACAGTCTGTTTTTGACATAAATATGACTAGCTAGCTGTAACACTGGCCAAGAAAAGAACATTATAGATAGAGTAAATCAAGTGAATTTTTTATGGATGGAGAATGACCTAGAATATTTGTTGTTTATGAATACATGTCAAGTGTGCAGCTGTAAATGGAATGCATGTATGATATAATGTATGTATGTCATCAATGATGTACACAGTGTTTTATTAAAAGTCAATTCTTAAAAGTATCTTAACATCACTCTCACAAACTAAGGATGTTTTGTATCTTGGGAAATGTAGTCATTCCTTTTCAGCTAAATGTTTGCCACTCCTATAGTAAAACACACTTATGCTGAAAAGCTGGCAGGGTTTTCCTCCCCTGCTGAAGTTGAGCAATGTTCCTTAATGAAGCCTTATGGTGCTTTTCCTTTTCCTCCATAGACTGTGATCTTAAAGAAGCATGTGAACAAGAACTCGGTTGTGTACGCAGAGCCATCCAAGGAGAACAAACTCCAGAGCGTGAAGAACGACTGCAGCATGACCTTCTCACCAAGCGCGAGTTCGCCCTATGGGGAGCGGATCAGCATCCCACGCGCCAAGCTGAGTAACGGACATGTGAGAGTCCAGCGTTAAGGCCTCTTGCTGGGACTACAGGATATTTCCTTTTATCTCTATTGGTTTCATACACATCCATGGAGCTCACAGAGCAACTCGCACCACAAGCCAAGGATTCTTCTGCCTTCTGTTGAGAAGGATCTTTGGTGTCCAGTGGAGGAAAAAAGTATTGTGAAATCTAGCATCTTATTTTATTATATTGATGTTTTTCCCTCCTCACCCATTTTTTTGGAGTGGTAAATTCTTCTCGTAGTTCTCAGGAGCAATAGGAGAAGAAAGCATACTTATTTGGACATGAGGTTATAACAGTCCACTCTGGAGAGATGCTGGAATTGAGTTCATAAAAACTGAACATTGCACAGACTTCTGCATCAAAATACAATTCCAATTTACTTATTTTGATCTATCCATTATAATGCTTTATGCTAGATGTTTACAACCAAGGTTTGAGTTTGCTCAGGCAAAACTTGACTGGGGTATGTACAGTTACTAAATGGAAGGCAGCTTCTTGGCTGATTCCTTCATGGGCATTGGCAGGGTAAAACTGAACAGAATGGAAATTATTATGACTGAACTACAGGGTGTCCCAAAAGGGGAAAGAACACTTTTTAGCAAAATGTCTTCCAAAAGTTTTCATACTTAAACCTTAGAACCAAGAACATACTGAAATCATTCTCATGGCTGGATCGGGAAACCGTCGCAAGGTTGAGATGGACATGCAATTACATGTATGGCCCAAGTTTATCATGAGTGGGAGAGATGACTCCATGTGTGTTTACAAAGAAACGGCAATCATGATGTTTTGTTAATAAAGTTACATTTTGCTAAAACAGTGTTATTTTCCCCTATGTATGGAACGTTTTGGGATACCCTGTACATTCATGGGCCATTTTATTTGGAACAACTGCATCATGTAATTATCCAATCAGCCAGTGCATAAAATCATGCAGATACTAGTCAAACGCGTCAGTTAACATTCCCATCAAACATCAGAATGGGTGGGAAAAGTGATGATCTTGCCCAATCTCAGTGATTTTGGCATGATTGTTGGGGCCAGATGTGCTGGTTTGAGTATTTCAGAAACTGTTAATCTCCTGCGATTGTGTTGAAGATTGGAAAAAAAAAACATTGTCTGATCTCTTTCCAATCTTCAGCTGTCAGTGAGGCTCTGCCCACTGTAGCCTCAGATTCCTCTTCTTGGCCGACAAGAGTGGAACCCAATGTGGTCATCTGCTGTTGTCTCATCCACCTTAAGGTTCGATGTGTTGTGCATTTTTGACATATTTTTCTGCTTACCAAATGTTGCAAAGCATGGTTGTTGAAGTTGCCATAGGCAATGAGACCTCTCTCATTAACAGGGCATTTTGGCCGACAGAACTGCCACTGCTACTCTCTGGACGTTTTTAGTTTTCTTCAACATTCTGCGTAAACTCTACCATGTGAAAAGCCCAGAAAACCAGCCTGCCTGGCCCAAACATCCATAAGACAAGATAACATATCAGTCAATGAGATCACATTTTCCCACCTCCTGTTCTGATGTTTGTGAACATTAACTGAAGCTCATGACCTTCATCAGCACGATTTTACACATTGCGCTGCTGTGACATGATCGGCTATTGGAAAATTGCAGGAATGCATGGAGTGGATAAAGTGGGCAGTGAGTGTATAAATTGAACAAACAGCAGAATCGGAATCATCAGCACCCTCCAAGAGGAGGGAATATTCAGAATCTCTGGTTTATGTCTAATATGTTTTAAGTGTATTAATTGTAGTCTTAGTGACTATTATGATTTCTATTATGGCTTTCTTAACTAATAAGATTTTAAGAAACCAAGAGAAAAATCCATTCCAATACAACCTTTGAGGGTTATAATCTATCCAAAACATATCCTCAGCATCTGGTGAGGCAATAATAATAATAAGTTTTCAAGTCAACCATTTATCAAATCTAATGAGTGCACTGACAATGAGCTCCGAGAATTCAGACTTTATCAATTCGTTCTTTCGTGTGTGCCAGTACCCATTTTATTATTATTAATTTTTAGATATTTTTCCCCTGCAGCCTACAAGACATAATCAAACAACTAGATAACTCTAACTTGGATTTACTATTTCTGCCCATTTTAATACTGAACTAAATATGAAAATAACTCTAAGGACTTGCACTGTCTCAATGTCTACAGAATTATTATCCAAATAAGTGATTCAGAACAGGCAGTGTGTATTACTAGGATCAGTTGCTTACCAAAAAGTTGCAAAATATTCCAGGAAAGATGCATGGACAGGGATTTGATATTTCTATCAGGATGGTAAACTGTTTCAGTAAACAGTGTTTCTATTTGGGTTTCACTGCCAAGAGTAAAGCCCATACCGAAGAGTGTTACACAATACGTTCACAGGACAATTTGACTCAATTTTTGTCGTTTTGTTATTTTTCATAAGTGTTGCAATGGGGGCAAAACAAAGCAAGAACAATTTTAGATCATTTTGATAGCTGTTGGCTTAAAATGATAATGGCCATTGTAGGGTCGTATTTTTTAAATGTAAAAAGGTAGATAAACCATAGATGAAGAGAACATTATTTATTTTTTCAAACAGTTTATTTATTAATACTGAACTATAGTTTGAGTACCAAGAAAAGTGTGTTGTTTGGATGTTGACAGAAACCATATTAGCCAAAGCTGCTGTACATTTTTGATTTTGTAAACCATTTCCATTTCTATCTGCTTTTTGGAAAAGGAATAAATATATTGTGTGATCACTGTGCCATGGGTGCCTGTTTTCAAACGGTTTTATTTCTTAACTCCTGTAACCACTAAAAGAAAAAAAAACCCCAAGGTGTGATCTTGACACTTTAATTTGCAAGTTGAAAATGAATGCCAATCCACAAACCCCAGCTCCAGTAAATGCCACTTACTGAGGCATGAAATGTAGCGATTTATGTCTGTACATTTCACACCATTCTGCTTATATACATGTTCAAAACAAGGAAGCATTTTTGTAAAGAAAAATACATGTTTTAATGCATTTACAATACAGCAAGTGTTAACACTTTTGAAAATCCTCTTAAACAGTTCTGTTTTGGAAAATAAAGATTGACATGATATCACTATGGGGAGAATTCAGACTGGGGAATTATAATGCAGAGGCTCAAAGCTGGTAATAATTACTGGACCCCTATGACAATGAACATTCTGTACCTTTGGCATAGATGTAAACTGCGGTCATTTAAAAAAAAAAAAAAAAAAAGATACCCCCCTACAAATCTAAATTAAGAACATGCTTAATTTCAGTCCTTAAAGAGTCTTTGAAAATATATTGTTAAAATGGCGAATGACGTCCGGTTTAGAGAAGAATCTTGTAGTAGTCATCTCTGTAACTGTACAAGACCACAACTGCAACCCTGCAAAGAAAAATACATTCAGATTCTAAAAATCTATTTAATTTTCAATTAATTATGATTTCCAATGACTACTTTTCCAAGTATAAGCATTTGTTTGGTATAGTTGTGTTTCTCAATATTGCGAAAACAGTATTCCCTTGTCATTTCCAAGTGGCTTTTTAAGCTTTACTTGTTAAAACTGTATATACAATCTGTCCCACAAAATGCCTTACAATATCTCCATTGTTCCTTTTTTATGCTAGTTTTGCAGCAAATTTGGCCTGCACAACCTAGAAAGACTGTTTGCAAACAAAGAAATTAGAAACAACTGTTCTGGCTAATCTATGGAGACTCCTAGAGGTGCCAAATGCAGCTTAGTCATACCAATTCCGGTCACTTTTTTTTTTTTTTTTTTTTTTTAAAGTGAAATTTACGAAACTCTAGAATGGTAGCCGTTTCTTTATTGTGTCTGCTAGGAAACTTCTGTATAAACACTTGTGTGGAGGAACACTTTTTTATATATCTTGAATATATGACT